TAGAGAAATGCTATGTTCCGATTTCCATACAATTTGTACTTATCGAATGCAACAAGTTTTAAAGTCATTCTAATATACGTTAATAGCACTTGTAGCAAGTACTTGAATATGCATTTTCATATTGCTCGTAAGGTCAGCTTCGTAGCTTTTCTTCAGAAATAAGCTTAATTTTTTCCACGTCAACCTATTTTTTGGGGTTAGAAAAATGCTGACATGATGACACAATTCTGATATCAAATTCATATGTATGTGCATGGGGGGGGGGGGGTAGTTATTGATTTCTAATGGTAACTATATAATGAATACCACAAATAGTACCAAAGCTATAGTCCAAAACAAGTTTTAATGAAAATTGAAAATCATCTTATACAGTGAGTCGGGAAATAGCACCAAACTCCAGGAATGGATTATAAACTAAAATGTTGTTATGAGATGTTCATTTGTTTTAAAGCTATGACGGGCATTTCAATAAAAAAAATAATAATTTATTGATAAATCATGGCGTTCTTTCGTTAAATGTTCAAAAACACCACCGTTCTATCTAAACATCTAAACACTTTCGGCTTCGTCTCCGGATAGCTGTATTCCTCTCTTTAATAAATGCTGCAATCTTAATGATGCGTCGAATTAGTGCCTCCCGAGTGTTTACTCTAACTATATACACTTCATTTGTGAACCAGCCCCATAAACAGTGATATAGTGCTGTGAGGTCTGGAGCTCTTGGAGGCCAATTGATAGAACCACCACGGATAATCCAACGCCCTGGAAACCTCTTGTTCAAATGTATCTTGACTGGACGAGCGAAATGTGCGGGAGCTCCATCGTGCTACATTCTCATTCTTAAAATAGGAACATCCTCTAGTAGTATGTAATTTTAATTAATTTTGTAAAAAAAATTAAATAGTAGTCTCCTGCGAATCTATTTTCTAAAATGAATGAATACCAGAGTATGCTGAAAATTACTTTCGAGTATTTCTTAAGGATTTACGACTAACCGTATATGAGAGTTCCCAGTACGTATTAGTTATGCCGCATGCCGTCACGAGTTAATGTTGCTTCATTCGTAAAAAGTATGCGGGATACAACAAGATGATTGTTATTGATCCATCGACAAAAATCGATATGCTTAGCATAATCTTCTGGTTGTAGGTGTTGTACTCTTTGTACATGGTACGAATATAAGGTTTGCTCGAGGAGGGCTTTTATTACTCTCTTTTGTGGAATGCCCAACAGAGTAGCAATTCTTCGTGTGCTGGTAGTTGCATCATATTCTATGTACTAGACACAGAATATTTTCTGCTTCTTCTTTCAGCACTTACCAACACTCCGAAGTTTTTCGGTTTCGCACAGTTTGTTGAAAACTCCGATAAATAAATTTTTATCAGGACATATGTGATGTAGAAACCGTTGACGACATTCGTCAACAGCATCATTAGTATTCTCATTACAAAAGCTATAACTTGAAAACAAATGAAAATCGCATAACAACATTTGTGTTTTTTCTCATTATTTTGTGTAGAATTCATTCCCGGAGTTTGGTGCGATTCTCTCGTCTCACCCTGTATATTAAGAAATTTTGGCACAGGACTTTCTTAAGCGACCATTCGGTAATCGTCTGTTTTGCCCCTCTCCACAAATAAAGTTTGTCACAAAGCATTCTGTATACATCTTCAAATTTATTGTTATGTAAATGATATTCTGAAACTTTTGTTTCAATCTGTAATTATAAAGTATGAGTTGAGAGTAGGTACTTGTGCTTGTTTTCATTTAAATATTCCAAACTTCACTTCCTTCGTTATGAATTAGTTTTAAAAGTTGCCATCATTAAGCTGCTATTTACTGTCTTATTTTAAATTTTACTTCATATTTTTCTATAATAATTTCATTACTTGTTAAATTACTTTTATAAAATCACTATTACCATGTCAAATAATGACGCATTGCTAGTTTATATTCTAAAACTACTATTGAAACTAAATTGACCAGAAGATTATTCAGTTTCTGCGTTCATTCCCAAGTATTAATCTTCCAAACTGAAGATGTCGAAACGTAGAAATCTAAATGTAAGACGTAGGCAACCAGTGCAGAAAGCGTATAATCATTGACAACCCGCACAAAAGCCTATAAACCAAGCTAAACCAAAGTTAGTATCGATAATAAAAACACAAATAGGTAACTCAGCCCTTAAAATAGTAACAAGGATGGAAGGTATACATCTTAAACGCTATAGAGGTTATCATAATCTTGCATAAAATACACTTTGAATACGTATTGTAGTTGGAACATATTCGGAATAGCTATTACAATAAACATAATGCAGTCGTTTGAAGTTGTTAGAAACTAGGTTTTCGTGTGGCAGAGTCAGATAACGAGTTCTGAATGGCAGGAGCTTTCAGATAGTGTACAACCAACATTGGGTGTAAAAATGTACGTGCAATGGCTTTCCTTTTAATAAATTTTCCCTTGGGTACAGACCCATCTCCGAGCAATCTATAGAGATATATTCGTTTAACTTTTTCAATACCCTATTCTTTTCGCTCGACAATCTAAATTGGATATTATCCGACATCCGAGATTAAACAAAGCAAATTCTGAATTACGTGAAGAAGTATCTTATCTGTATTACTTAACCGTAATTGGAGATTTTATGGAAAAAATAAAATAAAGAACCTGTACAGAATACGAGGTTAATTATCGATGTACAGATTTTTTACCCATTTTTGTGCGTGCATCTCTTTGATTAAAGTTTAAAGGTGTGATTCACAGCAGGTGCAAAAACATTCAGAACAACATACGGCATCAAAATGTTGCAAGCCAGTGTTTCAATAATTTGGGAGCTGAGGCGTGTTGAAGTTAAAAAAAAGCAGCAGATCTGAAAAAACAGGCATTTTTTGTTTATTTTTTATTCCGTAATAAGACTATTTACGTGCAACATTTAAAATAATTCGATTTTGTGTCAAAATAAATAAAGAAACACTGAAATCATGTTTTTTAACTTCAAGACAAAAAATATATATTTAATTTCAGTACAAAAAAATCCAATAGATTCAAATCTGGGCAACATGGACGGTATCCTGTAACACCTTATCAATTTCTTGTTTTTTTCTAATCTTTTTGTTCTGGGAGATTAATGATTAAAAAAATTAATTTTGTCTTGTTTGCTCTTATTAAATAGGTTTATCTTCATCCATTTTCAATATCATGTAACATTTAAACTGTTGATAATTGGACAAGTTTATGAAAAACTTATGTTTTTTATATTTTTGGTGATTATTCTCTCTTCATTTTTTTACACTTAGCAAGTATTTTTCAAACTGAAATGGCCTGAAATTGCTAATTAGATATTTAATAATTAAAATTATTTTATATACTGCTTTGGTATATTTTAAATATCTACATTAAATAAAGAACTATTTATTTTTACTTTAATTTAAATAAATTCAAAATGTTCATAAAAATCGTATCAAATGAATTCATTGTTCTTTAATACTCTGGTCTTTGTCATCCACTATTTAATAATTTTTGACAAAGACCAATACACGATAATTATTGACACGATAGATTTTATTATTTCTGCATTTTAGTTAAGGATTGCTTTTTCAAATTGCCTTATTGTTAAATAATAATCGAACAAAATTATACATATAAAACACAAAGCTTTTCGAAAAACTTAAATTTTGACAACATCGTTAAAAATGTTGATAACATGATTGGCTTAACGTGAATTATTTATTTAACTAATCAATATTTGCCTGTTTTACTAAACTCCTTTTTTAAAATATTTATATTTTTTAAATTTTATATATTTTTATTAGTAGCCCTTGTATATTTATTCAATTTTTAACTAGGTATTAAGGTAATCCAAATAAATTTTAAAAAATTCTATTAAATAAGTGCGAAATATTTTAAGAGTTTTAAAGATATTGATTCGGAATTTGATGGTTGCATTTTATTTAGAAATATTGACAGCAACCTACTAGATAATGCATCAATAGAAATTAAGAATATACAACTTGCAATAAAATATGTTTTTTTCCTCAAAAACGGTGCATCCTATGAAAAAAATTGAAGAGTCCCATTTCATTCAACATTGATAGCAGATTTCTAAAAATATATAAAAACGGAAAAGTCGTGGCGTGCCATTTTTTTTATTAAAAAAGTTTGAGGCATTATCGCACGAACGCCACTGGTGCATGTAGAAATATTCGGATCGCCCCAAAAAATGCACATTTATCCCTCCAAAGCGTATTTAAAATTTCGATTCAATATCTTTAAAATTCTTTGAAATAATTACCTAATAAAAATAAATAAATAATTAAAATTTAAACATTCTGTTTATATGAACTTTTTTTCACAAAATAACTTCGGCAACCACCCCCTAAAATATTTCGCACTTATTTACAAACACTTTGTATAAAAATCCTATCTCAAGTGATGTCAGTGTCTTACTATACTTTGGACTTCCTTTCTTTGAAAAATTACATTTTTTACAAATTTTATTATGTCAGGTATGTGTTTTAGAATTTACAATACCTACAGAAATTTAGTTTTATTTTTATTTTCGATAAAATTATTCATTTCTAGCTGTTTACTAGATATTGTTGGTATAATTCAAAAAAAAATATGAATTTATTTGAATAAGCTGTTAAAATAAAGTAAAAATACTAGAGATAATAATAAAGTATATATTAATCAAAATATCATGTTGCATTACAGCTCTCAAATTTTCACAACTATTTAAATGTTTCGCCTGTTTTTTTTTATTAGACGAATGATAATTGATAATTTTCTGAACGATCAAAAGTAAGACTTTAAATACAAAAACTGGAAATAAAAACAATACTTTTAATATTGGAATTAGAAAGATGTGTTCTGTATTTAATAGTACTTTCTATAGAGTAGATATTGCTATGTAAATACGTTTAACGTTTATTAAAATTTTTGTTTTGTTATAGTTGTTATGTCAATAAATACCCTATATATTTTTTATTTTGTTACAGGTATCAAGGTAAGGCTAATTCTAAATTATCATGTAAGCAGTTGGGTAAGTTAACATAAGTAATCTTAATTTTGTCGATACTTTTCAAATGCATATAAATCTATTTTTATATATAAAATTTATTAAACTATGTATTATGTATTTTCCTTTGTATGCTAATAATGTGCTCTAATAACGTGATTTCTAGTACCAATGATCTTTTCTTTTTATTGAAAAGAATCCATACAATACCGTTCCCTGCATTACATTATCTATTCGAAAAATATTTTAAGTACTATATTAAATTTAAGAAACAACTACCTAAGGAATTTTTCACTTAAAAATACAAGTCCTATGTTAGATCGACGAAAAGAATTTCTCTATAAAGTTTGTGTTGGCCTAGAAAATTGTAAATGTAAAGCTAATATTACGCGATAGACGAAAATCCACAATCGTAAATTGCTGTACAATTTATTTAACAAATTCGGTATCTTCAGAATTAAAAAATATACTTAACACTACTCTTCATTGAACAAAATACGTTTCACCACTAAAATTTATATTTCATAGTAATTGAAGAGAATAAACTTTCTAAAACTTGTAATATATTCTGTCAAAAAAGTATCCGGATTTTTTTTTGAAAGTTGATAGCACTGTACTCTACTCTGTCACGAAGTTTAAGCGCGATCTGTCAAGTAGTTTGTTTACAGCTGTTAATAATTTTATTAGTGCCCTAAAGTGTGTTCCGTGATTTTTACTATGGATAATGTTATTGAACAAAGAATTTGCCTAAAATTTTGTGCTAACGGGATTTCTTGTGCTGAATCGTTGAAAATATTGGGAAAGACGTACAGTAATTCAGTTTTATCGAAAACTCAAGCATACGAAAGGTACAAAGCATTCAAACTTGGTCAAGAAGTGGTTGATCATATGCCATGATCTTGTTGTCCTTCAACGTCTTCAACTAAAGAAAACATTGAAAAAGTGAAGGAAATTATCCTTGCAAATCGTTATTATAGTTTGAGCACAGACAAAATAGTTGGCGATAAGCTATATTGTCTGTGGTTTGAGAGAGCTGGCACAAAAAATAATTATACTCGATAGGTGGCGCTCAAGTTTCGCGTCATAGTGCTATCAATCTTCCATCAAAAAAAATTAAATCTACTCTACAGCGACTTTTTAAATAACACATTCCGGGTACTTTTTTTGACAGAGCAGTATGTGAAAAGCTTAGCATTTTACTTATAAAAGTAAAGAAATTGCTCGTTAAATTTGCAGATTTTCTGGATTATATGGGTTTCTTTAATTCTTTAAATAAACCGTTAATTCTCTAACAGAGTGCTTGGTCAACACAGAAGAGCTGATTTTTGCAATACCACACGTTCCTGATATTACTAGTAAACTCTGTGACGTACTTAAGTTTCTTTTATACAAACTCATAAGTAGAAATTGGACAATTTATGATATCTAGAACTTCAAAACTAAAATTATATAGAACAGAATCTCGAGTGCCAAGAACGTGCTGACATTTTTATTAAATTCCAAATATAACTCTTCTATTTAAGGGGCACTGCAAATTCCCTTAATATGCGCTGTAGAGTTCTGCGTAATTTATTCCTTTACGGCTGATATTTGGATAATGGGTCTCGCTTTTTTAAATTGTCAATAAAAATTTTCACGACGTAGTCTGCTTCCGTAATTATTTCCAGATGGGTTCATAAAAAAAAGAGACAAATTTCAATACAACCCGTATTTCGCTTTTGAAATGTCCGGAAGGATTACATTCCAACCCCGATTTAAATCTTAAAAAGTAAAATTTCCGAGTGAGTAATCCAAACGTTTTTACTTTTAAGTCATCCGTATTTCACAGCTGAACAAACTGAAAAGGAAGGCAAATTGATACTTTTTATGTCCACAAGCAACAAATGAATATTTCTGTGTACGACCTTTTGCGACGTATTTCTTAATACCGGTACATCTCGTACATAATCTCGATTCTTATTATTTTGGAACAGAAATGTACGACGAAATAAAAACACATAAACCCTGATTGAGCTTATATCGCTGAGAAAGCACTCCGCGCTTACAACGTCGTAGAGATAGGGTGCCGCGCCAAAAATCTTTTACTCTGATGCATTTCGACGCAGTACTTTATAGATACACGCAATCCTCCAGACAACGATACGAAATTTTTCAACTATTCTCGCTCTCTGCCCCCTTATCTTACTTCCCTTGCTCTACAAAAAAGTGAACCAACTCCAAGTATAGTAATTTTCCCTTTACGACAGTTTTTTATAGGCATGAACCGTAAAAAAATTAAAAGTGACAATATATCGGAATCTTATTTGATTTCTAAATTGTTATAGGTGCTCACTTGGTGAATAACAGTAAAAATAGAATCGTCTTTAATTACAAAAAATAATATACTTATGTGTGGTCTAGATACCTAGTATTTATTATTTTTATATCGATTGCACAAAATACGTATTTTTGCCTTTTTTCATTTTAAAAATTTTCAGTTCATTTTAATTATAATGGGTGTTCGGAAACTATAATTAAAAAATTTATGGAGCGATTTTACTCATGAAAATAATGATAAAAGTTCTATGACTTTCTCAATATTAATGAAGATACATAACCTAAGTTTTATGTTTTTAAATTAATATTTTATCATAAGTTTTATCTGCGTCAAAATAATCGATGAGAAACTGCAGCTATAAAAAAGTTGTTAAAATCCTATAGCCTTGAAAAGTTTACCAGGTCCTTTTTGACACAAATAAATTTCTTCATTTGTGATTTTTCAAAAAATTAAACTTCACAATAAAAATTGTTTAAAATTTTTACAAAAGTACCATTTTTAGGCTTACAAATAAAATCGCATTTATAAAACATTTTATATTACTTCATTTTAAAATCCTACTTCGTTTATTAACTGCTTAAAGTTTTTTTATCGACCTGAAAGAGAACCATTTTGTAAGATTTTTAACTCCGTCAACTTTGAGTTAAAAAAGTACCATAGAAACTTTTATCATTATTTATTTGTTTTGAACAATCATATCTAGAGTTCGGTAGTCGGTCGGATGATCATAGCCGTCGCGTCAGCTTTTCGCTACAGCGCGTCGTACGAAACCAGTAATAACGGCAGTTATTCTAATAACTACAATAATAATTCTAATAATATCGAACCTGACAAGGGGTAAAAAACGACCTTTCGCTGATAAAGTACGCAAATTTATTTATTTTTATTTATACCTACCTGTTTATTTGCTTGTTTACGATGAACACGCCTATGACTAGCCGACGAAAATCCCGAGCTCTAAATTATATCATTATAAATAAAAAGAAATTATTTTTAACAAAAAATGAAAAAGAAATATAATTTTCAAAATTAGAAAAACCTTACAAAAACATCATTTAGCTGATGTAAGAATTACAAGTGTAGTCTTTGTTACACCTTACACTTCCTATAAAGATGCTCGTCTAAATATGATACGCATGTAAGTGTGATGGCTTTGGGTGCTCAGCAGTAGTAAAAGTTCAGACAGGAGTCATAATAAATATTTAGATAATATTTTTACTTACGATTTTGATTTATTTAGCAAATTAATATCTGTAACCTGAATGAAGAAGAAACAACTTAGGTAATATGTGTATTGGTCATGAAATATGGCTAATACGCTGTAAAAAAAAATTGGACTTATATTCACTCAATTTCACTCATAATGTATCATTTTCTGTCCACACCCGATCTAGTGAATTAGTATGAGTACAACTAAAGTTTTTTGAGTTTTAGTTCAACTATTATCAAAAATGTGTAAATTTATCGAAATGTCCAATACTTACTGACTGAAAATGTACTCAATAATTTCGCTCAATGAATTCACATGTTTTTGCTTTCACTCAGACCAATTTATTTACAGTGCACTCTACCTTTTTTTGCTCAGGTGACACGAATGGAATACATAAGCGTTAAGAATAGAACAAGTCCGAAAAAAGTGTTGTTGATATTTCACTTTGACAAGCTCAAAGTCGCCATCAAGTTCCGTCAAGTTCACTCCCACTGCATGGTTTTAACATTATTTCTTACCACATTTTTTTCTAACCTAACACCGACATTGACAATGGAAGAGAATATTTTAATTTCAACTCAGATATGTATTATTATACAGAACGTCCCAGTAAAACAGCAACATTGTTATCTCTTTTAGTTAGTAAAATAAATAGAATAAATCAAAAACTCAAAGTATTAAGAAGTATTTTAGATTTGCAAACAATTTTTTATGGTGAATATATCTACGGTTCAAAATATAGGAATATGGATATAATTTCAGAACTTGAAATTATAAATCCTGTTATAAATAATAATTATTATACATGAAGAGAAACATTTTCAACTTTGGAGTTAGTAGTATTTATATCGTCAAAAGGTAAAAACCTCAATGAAAATAATATTCGTATGCAATTTATGTGCAAACATATTGGTACAAATTTATCACTTGAAGTACATTGAAAAAAGGATATAATTTTCACCTAAATTCAGTGTTACGTTTATAATTTTTACTACAATCAAATTAAATATAAGCTATCTGTAAGAAATAGACTTAAAATATCTATATCGAACTACGTCGTAATCTGGCGCACTTGAGTACAGCCGTGAGTCACAACAAAAATAGAAGTGTTTTTTTAAAACTAGTCCTATAGTAGGATCGTATTCGATGCAAAGTAGAGCAGAAAATTTATGGATCTTTTATCAAAGGAAAATCTTGTCATCCTTTTTAGGATGCGTAAGATGTACCATTTCAAATTTAAAATGAAATTGAATGTAAAATCTAAAATACCGCATCATACGCATTGTGTTCTGGTAGTAGCTGTAGTCGCTCAGGTGCATCGAGTGTACGAAGTGGTCGGTTATACGTCAAATACTAACCTGGCGAGCTTGGTCGTAAATCAGAGGTCGCCTGCAAAAAAAAACAAGTAAACAACAGTGGCACGTACCGAAGTAAAATGTTATACATATGTGGAATTTAAAA